CATACATACATACATATATATGTGTGCGTGTGTATGTATATACACACTATGTCTATGAACATAAATGCAATAATCATATTAGACTATCTGTATATATGCACATATATCATCTGCATAACATAATTACGGCATGCCCATTTCATGTTCCAACTACCGGTTACCGGCTGCTTTGCAAGGCTTTGTATGGACACAAGTTCACAAGGCCAGCAACAAAACAAAACTACTGCTAATGATGCTAACGGCCTGTTGGGCAGCCCATCGCTTAACAGATCCAAAGACGAGCCATGGCTGCAAGGACTCGAGAAACTACGTTCGGACCGGCCAAGGGGCTCTGCAATTCACCCCAGCTCAGTTCTGGTGTGCAAAGGCATCTGGTGGGAAGCAGTTTGACAGTGGACCGGAGCACAGGCCCCTGGCATGGAAAGTGAGGAGCGACGAGATGGGTGTGCCGAACACCTGGACCCACGAAACAGCAGGAAGCGTCGGAACTCATCCTTCTTTGCAGCTACTACGGCCCTAGACAGAGGGATCCCATTCTCAAGTAAACCCGAATCTAAATGAACAAACCTCTCACCAACCCGCTGCCTCACCAAAAGTTGGGCCTCCCAGTGCTTGACGTCTTCCTTGAGCTTCGTCACATCCACCAAGACGCCGGTCCGCTCCTGCGTGACGAAGGTTCCTGCCGTGTAGCCTCGCATGGGAGTTCTGGGATTTTGTGTGTTATGTACTACATCATAAATGACATGTAATGCTACCTGACATAGAATATAATTACGATCTTTTAAATTGTAGTATGACAGAACACATCGGAGCAAGTCAGGCCGCAACCGATCGTGTATCCGAGATCACAGTCGAAGTTGCTTGGAAGTGCTGCACCTGAGCATAGATGCAAGCAGGCAAAGCCTTACCCAGCTTGAAGGAAATTTAAGGCGGCAGCGTGCTTGGTATGGCAGGGAATACGTAATTGCCTACAGCTTCCGCAGTTGGACATGCCATCAGCCGAGTCTGCACCGGGAGCCTGGAAGGGGCCCCTGAACTTGCCCATGACCACGCGTCGTGTGAGCTCGCTCTCCACCATGCTTTTGAAGATGACCTCCGATGCTTCCATGCGAGTCAGCACACTCCAATAAGCAACCCAATACCATCACCGCCAGAAACGGACATGGCGGAAGTCAAGCAAGCGAGGCACTCTTTGCATGGAGCCCATGATAGACGTCGAAAGCAAAATAGGGGGGCGGAGCAAGCCCAGAGCCTAGACGGAGCCCGGGAAGGCCTTCAACCCCCAAACCTCGCCTTTGATGCACGTTGCAAGCCTCTCTCTCGGTCGGTACGGTTTCTCTGCAACTCCGGAGCTCTTCAGGGACAAAAACCGAGAACCTCCAGGCCAAGGCGGGAGAAATCACGAGAAGGCCTTGAGCCCAGACTCTGCCCTGAAAAAAACGAAGAGAAGGACTTCAAAGTAGCCAAAGACGCTTTGTCTTTCCTCCTTCGAAGTCTAGCACCGGCAATTTCAGTCAAGAGCTTTGGGGTTTCGGGTTTTGGGGCTTACGGTTTCGAGCTTCCGGGTTTAGGATTTTGAGGTTTAGGGCTCGACTCAAAAGACTCGAAAAGAGTGCAGTACGATGTGCTTTCGTGTTCGGAACTTCGCACCGTGCTAGCTCCTTCCGACAGCAACTCACGGGGACGCCAAGAAACCTTCTTCATGGAAAACAACTAGCAGCCAGCAGTAGCAGTAGAGTAGAGGTTTCGTGGTGGTCATCGCCCATGTCGTTTACAGACATCTTCGTCAAGACCTTCAAGACAGCAAACTTTCTACAGACGCTGCCCACCTCCGTCTCGACAGTGCCAAGATCAATATTGCCTCCACGACAGAACTCGCCCTGCACCAAGACCGGGCGTGAGTAAAGGAAGACCACTGCTGTGGAGGCACACAGACATTCTCAGTGCCTCGACCACCACGCGGCAAATCTGCACCCGAACTCGCTCGGGCATCGACTTGAACCTGCTTGAGTTTCGAGCCCATACCGAAACCCAGCAGCCAAGATCTCTGCGGATCTCAGCTCCCCAAGGCTTCTGCAGAGCCGCGGTGAGAGGGGGCCTGGGGTCAGTGCGGACTCTCTCTTTTTGCCCTTCCTTTGATACCGGGGCACCGGCAAGAGATGCTGAACGACAGGCATGTCAATGATGCCATTGGTATTCAGGTCTGGGTTGCAGGTGTTCGCACCATGCCGTTCGCCGGTAGATCGAGTGAAAACAGAGAGCGGGGCTGGCAAAGCACTCAGGGCATGCGGTGTAGATCTCGTAGATCTGATGAGGATGATGCCACTTACACAACTGCCTCGAGACATCCGAAAAACAGCCCAGAGCCTCCCGGAAAAGCTGTTTCATCTCCTGAGCTCTCACGAGGCTCGAACTCTTGGAGAGGCATGGTGGGCACTATCTGGTGGGTTGTGTAGCATACTCCTTCCCCCCACCTCAAGAAATCCCACCTCAAGATGTGAGCATCCAGAGCAAGTCAGAATACCGTCTGCGATGCAAGTTGCAAACACTGATGCCAGGAGCTGATCCGGGACCAGGACCTGCTCGGCTCCGGCTATCCCTCATATTATATTATATCATATAATTTTATATTACAGCTATATTATATTATAGTTTGGTATATTATATTATATTGTAGTATGGTATATTAAGTTATAGTATCTTCTTTCTTCCAGTACTACTGAAATCTGAGGCTGTCCGAGGCATTGACCACACCATTGTTGTTGCCCTCCTTGCTCCGGATCTCAATAACCTCGGACATGGTTTAAGGCTCCCCTAATCCTTCTCAAGAGGCTTGCACATGTAGCCTCGTCGGTAACAAACCGGAATGCTTAGAAATCTGCAGAATCCTACATGATCCTAAAGGTGTTGCCTCTGAATAGGCTGGTTGCGAATCACAGCCTGCTACCGTGCTACACTGCAGCCTCTGTATGCGCCTGGCATTGCAGATCATTTGCGTCACGTCCGTCAGGCCCAGCTGTTCATTTCCCGTATCTGAAGACCTGTTACACAAGAGTTGCACCGGTTCCGTGTCACTCGGAAGCAGCACCCTGCAACGTCTGAGGAGGAAGCATCAACACCACATGCGGATGAGTAAGCAGTGCTACCTGCGGCGCAAGACCATCTGGCAACCTCCACAGCCTGTATGGGAGTTTCCGAAAATAGGGGACCCTAATATAGTACCCTAAATAGTAGGATCCTTATTATAAGGACCCCAAAATTTCAAAAAAAGGTACCCCTGATTTTCGGAAACCCCCGTGTACCTAAAGGCCCAGGAGAGAGTCAGTAAGCAAGGTTACAACCCCAACCCTGCTGCTAGGGTGCTTGTTATGTCCTGACGCTCCTTCACGCCTGCAGGCTAGTAAGCTACCTTAAACCCTTGACCCTAAACCCCTAAACCCTAAACTCCTAAACCCCTATATAACCCTAAACCCTAAACCCCCTAAACCCCCTAAACCGCACTTTGCACTGGACGCCTCTTGACGCCTGGCCTCGGCCGCGATGTGGGAGATCGACCGCCCGGGAATCCGCACGAAGCACCAAATCGATCCCGACGAAGCAGCCTCGAGCTTTTAGGTGCTTTTTTGGTTCTTTTGTTGAAGGTTTAGGGGTTTTGAGTTTTTAGGTGCTTTTTGTTGGTTCTCTTTGGGTGGTTTTGAGGGTTTAGGGGCCTTTTTCCCCAAAACACCTAGCAAGGACGAGCCCGGTTTAGGGTTTAGGGGCGAGGGTTCAGGATTTGTTAGGGCTCAGGGCTGCAACTTGACTGTAGAGTAGAGCATGTTTTAGCGACTTCAGGGTAATGGCCCTGATGCCAAGATAAACCGAATTCAGATGGTGAGGCCTTGATGGCCAGATTGCCCACGATGGACGAGTAGAGCTTGCAGACAGTGTCGTAACCCAGGGTCCTGAGGCTCAGGTCAGGTTTCGACTCTCACAGCTTGGGCCGGGCTTACTTTGGGGCGGTCGACACTCAGAAGCGCAGGTTAGGTCTGAAGCGAACGGCCACTCAGCCACGCAGAGAAGCACTCTCGCAACTGGGACTTCGCAGGCGAGGCTGTCCGGGTTGAGGCTTTGGCATTCCAGAAACGACACACTCTCTCTAGCGGTTGCTGAGAGCGCGGCTGCTCGATCAATGGCAGGTCGGACTGCACGCCTTGCAACGAAGGTGAGGCACAATCAACTGGGTTCCTGCAAACGGATTTAATATAAGTTACCATAGTACGGAAACCATGTTATTTACCCAGGATCCCTATTATGGCAACTGAAAGTAAATCCCTTAACAAGAACCCAATCAAGGGCTCATCTTAAGACTGCGGCAAAGCAAAACTGGGGTCCAGGCTGGCCGGCACACCAACAACGCAGGTCCTAGCCTCTTCAGCGTCCGGACGAGCATGGAAAGGCTCTGATGTCACGTTACATATGGTACATCATTCAATATGTGTTTGATACTTTCTACCATTTCTATATGTATATATCTTACATTTTGTAATATACATCTTACATTTTATAGTGCATAGTGTGTATATATATAGAGAGAGAGAGTACATGTATATATTTGTTCGAATTTCCGCCTGTCTCCACAGCGAGGTTTTCCGGCCTTGTGCTCGGCGAAGTACTCAGCAAGGCGGGCTGTCCAGGAGTGGACATTTCGACCTACCACGGTTCGACAGGGTTTAGGGAGGGTTTAGGTTTAGAGAGGGTTAAGCGAGGGTTTAAGGAGGGTTTAGGGTTTAGGCAGGGTTTAGGGTTTAGGAGGGTTTAGGGTTTAGAAGTCACGCTTCCTTGGATGCCGCTTCAGCTCCTGATTTCTGTGCATGGTCCCTGGTGCACCTAGCTGCCGGACCCTCGAAGTTCTTTGGCTCCCCTTCGAGCTCTCCGCTCATCTGAGCATAAGCTTGACATGATGGCGCTTCTCGCAGGCATGCGGGGCCTGAGGGCTCGCAAGGCGAGGCCACACGCCAATTATGTACATTACGTGCTTCCGATTGTCGTGTCCCGGGCCAAAGCATATCCGAATTTACTGTGCTTTGTGCGCAACCTGGCCCTCTAGACAGGACAAGAGCAGAAAAGACTGCCTCAGCAATGATCGGGCAGTTGCTGTGGCTGTGCCAAATCTTGTGTTGGCTTCAAACACACCACCTAGCTGTACCTGTGCCGTTCCCCTCACTCTCAGCCCCAACGGCTCAAACGATGACGGTCCGGTTGATCTTCTCACCCAAGGACGCCCAGAGTGCTGCAGGGCTCCCCCAAACCTCGCTCAGGCCGGAGCGGTCCAGAAGCTCCCGGGTCACATGCTCAGCCTGTGGAGATCAGGACGCTGAGGGCTGTGAAAAGCTGAGTTACAGTTATAGTTATTATGTCTACATGTGCGAAATGCATGCCTGCATACGTGCATACACAGATACATCGGAGATTACAGGCAGGGAGAGGGAGGGACGGGGACCCTGCATCTGGTCGAGGCACCTGGTCCATCGTCGACCCACCTCCGGTCTCTCCGCGCTCCTCCCCCTCTCCGAGCAAGGCGTGGTCTACAAAGCCCTTCGTAATGAGGCGGAGGGCCATGGATGCGATGGTTGGGGCGAAGTAGGCGGCCTTTGACGCTGGGAACTTCATCGTCACGATTTGCATGTACGTGCCTTTGCTCCGATCGACCAAGGGATAGTAGCCGAACAAACCTGCATCCATATGCACGTTTGCGGCTCTGCACTGATCAGTGAAGCTGCTCGCTTTCGGTGGAAAGCACTCGAAGTAGTTGCACATGGAATAATGCCCAAGTAGCTGAACCAGGACGGTGCTTGAATCTGCGATTTGCACTCCATTTAGGTAGTCCTTCTCCATCTCCTTACTCACCTCCTCAGGGATCAGCTCGTTGCCGACGTAAGCGCGCAGAATTCGGTCGTAGTCGTCACCCGTGGTCATCAAGTTTCCAGCCAATCCCGGGTTCGTGCCTCCGAGCCAAGTGGTCGCCTTTAGCTGCAAGGGCCCTATGAGGTATCGATGAAGCAACTCCTGGACAGAGATGCCCGCGGCGTAAGCGGCCATTGCTCCAGCCACTTGCAAGTGGAAGGAGTTGTAGGCCCAAGTTGTACCAGGCTCAAACCGGAAAGGAGCCAGGTCGTAGATTTCTCTCGCACAGGATTCGCCTGTGTAGACAGAGGCATTGGCGCCTAAGCAAGGAACATTTCCGCCCGTGTCAGGTGAGTAGAAGCCACTTGTGAAAGACATCAGATTCCGCAGAGTCACACGACTTTTTGGAACAGCGGGATCAGATGTCCACCAAGGAAAAACCTCATGTGCGAAGGTGTCGAAGGTCAGATGCCCCTCGGCCACGCACCCCGCAACGGCAATTGCAGCAGGGAACTTGCTAGAGGAGGCCATGGCCAAAGGTGTTGTCATTGAAGTTGCACCCTTCTCAAAAGTGAAGTGTCGACCGTCAGCCCGGCCGGCTGAGAAAGCCATGTCTTGAATCGGGAAGTAAGAGCTCAAGATTGCCCTTACGGGCTCCCATCCATCTCCTTCAGCTCGAAGAAGTGTAACTTGAAACAAGGCAATGCAACACCATCCACCTCTCATGGCTCGAAAAGGCTCTGAAGCTCCGGACCGGAGCCTCGGCTGCCTAGCTACTAAGCGCAAGCAGAGGCCGCTACTGTAGCTGGAGCAGGGCAGGGGGAGATGTTAGGTGCCATAAAGAAGCTCTGCAGAGTTGTATAGGGATCTATAGGGCTTGTCTCCGTGTGCCCGCCTCCCCAAACCACAAGTCCATCCAGCTTCAGCCGCCGGCAGGTGCTGGCACAAGATTGCCTTAGCGCTGACTGCCACTGACTGCTGCAAACTCCGGAAGCCACACTCAAGGGTCCTGGACCCACAGGTATAGCGACCCTTCCCGGAAGTCCAGTCCAGGGCTCCCTGCAGCTCGCCACCCAGCTTTGCGATGTCCTGGCAACTCGTCCGAAGCACAGCGGCCCTCGGGTTTATTAATATTTCTATTACTACTATTATTACTATTATTCTATTACTATTATTACTATTATTACTATTATGACTATTATTACTATTATTATTATTGTTATTATTATTGTTATTATTATTTGTCACTCTCCTCGGGCTGGCTCTGACCCAGCAGGTCGCAGCCTTAGGTGCAGCTGACGTCTGACAGTTTCTTGCAGAGTTCAAGGTCACATCCCGCCTCCCTGGTTCCGGTGCGGAGCCAGCAACTCCTGCAAGAGAGCTAACGAACTGCGCATCTGCGCAGGAGCCAGGTTCAAGCTGATGATTATTTTTATTCGCAACCGATAGCTGTCACCGCAACGGCAAGCAGAGTACCGATCTGGCATGAAGGGTATTTAGGAGACTTCAGGGGCTCTTCAAGAAATGTCAAGAGCCAAAAAGAAGAAACTGGGGACCCGGCCTCGGTGAGCTCGAAGGAGTAGCCGTTGACAAGCCCAGCGAGGCCCATGGTGATGCAAACCACGGTGCCACTCCAGACCTGCGCTCGGAGTTCTTTGCAGGCTCAGATCTTTTCGACTCGCACACTCGCTCAAGGTAGGCACGAATTCTCGCGTAGGTTCAGATCTTTCGACACGCACACTCCGCATAAGCTGGCGCGGCGAAGGTCTGCTCAACTAGCTTCTGCCATACACAACGAGAGCAAGTCGGTCATTCATCTCTGTCCGGACCAAATACGACTTCGAGGCCAGTGCCTTTCTCTTGATTCTCGATACCTGGTGGTTGGCCATTGCGTCCCCGAGGCTTCAGATTTAAGCCAGCCTTCTGCCGTGCGCGGAGGCGGAGGTTCCTTCGGAACTCCCTGATTCAGTCCCTGATTGCCTCGACCTTGTTCTTGAAACGTTCATGGCGAAAGGTCATCGCCTGCGCCACACCCTGTGCAATCCAGGCTTGGTGCCCTCGCGCCTGCGTCCCGCGTCCCGCGCCGCCTCATGCATGGCCCAGGCGTTGTCGAGCAAGCTCCTCAGGTATTCCGCATCAGCTTTGAGCTCCAGCTCGCGTGCCTCTGCCGTTTCTAGCACCGCTTTTAGCTGCCGGATCTGAATAGCCTGATCGGAGCTTGAGCTGCTTTCAGCCAATTCCCGAAGTTGGGCAGAGATCGGCTCCGATCAAGTCTTCGGGCAGCTCCTGGCCAGAGGCGCAGGCTGCTGTATCTCCGGACCAGCCACCTGTTTGCTGCGCTTCCTCCCAGCTCTGACCATGGTCGGCGCCGCGGTCCTGCGACCGAGACTACCACGGCTCCTCACTCCACCAGCAGTGCTCCGCTGTCCATTGCGGCTGAAGCCCACCAGTTGCATCGGCCTTCCCGAGGCACAGAACTCATCCGAAGAGCTCATTCCAGAAGGCAGCACGTCGTCTTCTATGCGTAATGTGGCAAAAGTAGGGAAAAAGGCATGCCGGTCTAAGTCAAGCGCTTGGGCCCAAGATAATCATTCGTTTGATACTCACGCTCGGACAAAAGACAAGGTCTGCAGACGATCCTTCGCGCAACAACACAAGAACTGGAGGCCTGCAGATAGTCAAAGAGGCCCATGAGGACATTGTTCACGCCAGGTCCAGATCGCCCAATCAACACGATGCCGATGCCTCGAAAGGCACATCTGCATCCACAGGTCCATATAAGTATCACGATGGATCAAGTGGACAAACAAACACATGGACGAATCAAGCTAGACGCGGGTTTGGCTGCTGCTTGGGTATCGTACAAATACATATATCCATATAACATAGATACGTATACATAGACATAGACCATGACATTAAATGCATCATATAGGCCAAGTTTAGGGGTATGCATGCATTATTGTCTTTGTACATCTTTGTACTATACATCCCCGGGAGTTCCGAGTGAGCGCCCAGCGCTGGTGAAATCGACGCAGGTCGAATTTGTCCAGCCTTGGCCATGCATTCGCAAAGAGCCCATGTCAGGTCAAGATACAGCGGAAAAGGGATGCGGGCTCCGCCATACAAACGTTATTTTTTCAATGTCCACCCCATACTCCCCGCTGCACCCCTAAACCCTTTTGCATCCGGGCATGGGAAGTCGGCCGGGGAAAGTGACAGAAAATAACAGCATCGCACCAAGCCAAGGCACTACTGGCTACAGTTCATGATCTTACGATGCCAAAGCTGACTGACGATGTCAACTGTAAGTACAATGGTGAAATTACTCCAAGAGAGTAAGATGCCTACATTGCAAGGACGCTAGTAGAACTTCGTGACACTCAGCGGTGACCGTGAACACTATGGTAAAGACAGACGGTTGCATCCTGAAGTGCTGCAAGAAATGCGAGAGGCTGCCTTGGAAGTCATCAAGGAGATGCCATGTCTGTATCCCCCCTCCACAACATCAAGCCAAATCTACAAACGCGGAGTCGCCCACGTGACTTCGCTGTGAATAGTATGCCTTTCGGTCTCATGCACTCCTCGTCCTAAACCCTAACCTACGCTGTAAATCCCGAAAAGCCGAGGCCCTTGCAGGGGAGAGATGGGTTCTTGCGGCGTGGGCGACACAGGATTTGCCTGAAGCCGGGCCACGCAACGGGGGACCTGATTTCGGGTTTTGGGTTTATTTAGGGCTATAGGGTTTAGGGTTTAAGGCTTGGAGCCTAGGGCTTAAGACTCCGGGATCTCACCTCGGACAATCCTGCGTTTTTCTTTGCTACTCAGACTCCCCAGAACCGTAAAAAACACCCGAAAGTTTAGAGTGTATGGTTTCCCCAAATCTCCGCACCCTAAACGCCAAACCCAGAAGAGTTGACAATCGCAGGCGTGCAACGTCGGACCGGCCTTCGTCGAGCTTGAGCCTTTGCCTTGGCAGACAACTGAAACCATCTGGGGTATCAGGGCTCGACAAGGGTTCTATTAAGGGGACTATTATGGGGTAGTTAAACCATCGTCCCTTCAAGGTCTTCAAGGGCCGTCTAGGGGTTTCAACACTCGCAACGAGGCACGGCCAGGCGAGCTGTTGCTCGGAGAAAAGCTCCCTGACACCTTTTTGCATCCAGGACTCCTGACACCTAACCTGTAAAACCTGACCCCAAACCCTAGGGTTTAGAGTTTAGGGAAACCCTAAACTGTACAGGGAAACCCTAAACTGCATCGGGAAACCCTAAACTGTAACACCTAACCGGGTCTTGTCAGCTCACAGTCACAGCGCTGACAGAAGAAATGACCAGCACGTTTGGGGGGACAACAGTCAACAGACCCCAACACCGGGTCGTTTCCTCCGTAAGGCGGCCACGGCGGTGTCCCGCGCCAAAGCAAGGGAATGCATGTGCTGGGTTTCAATGTGGCTTCAGGGGGGTTTCGCGGGAACAACATCCGGCTCACCCTTCCTTGTAGCCCGAATGTAACTGGGTTGAGCTCAGGTCTATGTAAAGGGAGCCCTGCAATTGTAGAGAGAAGCCCACGCGACGGCTAAGGACACAACCGGCATCAGCGCCCGAACTTGAAGGGCTGTCTTGTACCGGAAGGTTGCCTGGCAGGGTTTAGGGTTTAGGGGTTTAGGGTTTATAGGGTTTAGGGGAGGTCAGGTTAGGCTGCAGGACTTTGGGTTTAGGATATCTTCCCTCTCAGGATTTCGGCTCCCACACTCGCATAGGCCAGGTGCGGTTCTTGGTGCGTAGTCGGATGAGGTGAGACACTCCCAAGAACGTCCAAACTCTGAAACCACCAGCCAGGCAGTTTCATAGTCCTTGGTCATAGAACCCTAAACCCTAAAGCCTAAGCCGGTCATTGGACGACATCGTTAGAAAAAGCACTGTCGAACGTAACATCAGAGCCCTTGGGCCATCATTCAGGCGGAGATGCCCAGGTACTTCGAGGTCTTTAGTTTAAGGGACCTACGTGTGATTCAACGACTCTGGCGTGGGCTTTGGATTTAGCGTGTTGAGCTTTGAGTCTTAGGCTAACTTCATTTGGCTCTTAGCGTTTCGAGCTTAGGGCTCAGGGCTTGGACCCACATGAAGTGCTCAAGTTGGGCCTTCTGAGTGGCTGGAGATCCCTTGCAAGGAATCATCTCTGGTCATTCCACCTGGCACCAAGTATCGAGACTTCTGGTTGGAGGGTCGGTACATTTCGCAGAGACAACACACGAGCACCAGACGCTTGGGTTTCTCAGGCAGCAATTGAAGTACGTTCAGCTCCTGCCAGCAGTTCAGAGAAGCCAAAGAGGTGTAGGAAAGCCCGTGTGTCCTGATCTGGCATCACCTCCAATTTGGCTTCCTTGTGATGCCCCGAGCCTCAGAAGCGATTTTCCCTGCCGGGCCTGTCATCAGCTGGAAGCTCCCCGGTCAAGCCCGGTGCCGGCTAAGCTTGGAAGACATTTCCGCAGCAGATCTTCATCAGGACACACGCGGCCCTGCGGCCATCAGCACTGATCATGCCAAGGATCTCATGCAGTGCCAGTGCCAGCATCCGTCATTGTAGAGCGGACATCTTTTCCACACACGCCATCTTCACGTGTAGGCTTACGACATGTCTTCCTGAAAACCGCTCATTCCTTGCTACCGCTTCGTCTCGGGAAACGATCACCGGAAGTAAAACAAAGCCCGGCGAGGTAGCTCACAGGCCATCGGAGACGGAGCTCCTTTGCTCCGGAAAGGTGGCCTCCTCCAGGCTCGCGAGCCGAGGGTTCTTTCCCTGTCAGTCTTGTTGCCCTTGCCCACGGTCTTGGCATCTCTGACACCTCCGAGTTCGGCGCCATAATCAAAGCGCATGTCCAGGGCCTGGGGCTCCATCACAGCTGAAACAGGATGGAGATGCAGTTCAGGACGACGTCACAACCAAGTTCGGCCAGGCTTGTCACCGTAGTCGGTACCTGTTTCGCCAAAATCCACCGCGAACTCTGCAAAATGTGCGATGGTCTCAGGTGCAGTCCGAGAAGCCTAGAAGACGTGCTGGCGCGGGATGCTCTGCTCCAGGAACGCCAACCTTGTATGTATTGATCCACAGTTCACCCACCTGGCCCTTTAGCTACTCAGCATTTGCACCCTGACTCCTGCGCAGCACACTGCCGAGGGGCCTCCTGCATCAAAGGCCCTCAGATGCAACGACATCAAAGTTTGGAGGCAATTCTGCTCACCTCGCCAGGTTCAATGCCCCCCGGAACCGAGCGTCGCTGAGTTCTTGGAGAGAGCCCACTGGAGTAGAGAGGCGCGGGAGGCTGCCACTCGTTTGCCCCAGCTGTCCTCTGCCACAAGGGCTTTAGGGTTTCGGCGCTCACACCCAGAGGGCGTTTTTTTCCCTCTCGCATGGCTGAGGATCTATGCCCACTAGCGAGGTTGGAAAGTGACGTTATTGACAACTGTGCTAGATGGGGATGATCTCTGCCAGACACGATGAACATTGCACGAAGCCCACGCTAGAGCATCCCCATCATCAGACAATGTTGAGGGTTTAGGGTTCAGGGGAAAGTCTGAAGTCATCAACTTCTGCGCAACAAGATGTGTCAGACTGTCTGGAAGGACGATGTCTGAGGCCCGGTCGTGGCAGGGTAGCCTTGCACAGGGGCTTCTCTTCTACAAGGAAGAGGTCCCGCGGGCTTCGGAACCAACATGACCACAAAGCCGTTAAACACGATCGGTCCCGGCTTTGGCATATCATGAACTTGATGTATGTACATATGTATGAATGTATGTATGTATGTATGAATGTATGAATTTATGAATTTATGAATGTATGAATTTATGAATGTATATATATATACACACATATATATATACACACACTCTTATGTATGCATTTACTCATATGCGTGTGTGTGTGTGTGTGTGGCTCTCTCTCTCTCTCTGTTTTAAAAGTGTGTGTGTATATATATATATATAGAGGTCGCAGCAGCAGCAGCAACAACAACAACAACAAACACAACAACTGCCTTACTTGTTTCTTCAGTCAGGCGGCCGAAACTGGGGGCAGCTGCCCGAGGGCTCCTGCAGCTGAGGCTGAGGTCACGTCAGTCCAGAGGGTCTCCACAGAGGGTTTAGGGAAGTGTCCCTTTCTTTTAAGCTTTCTCCTGCGGGTTTCGGGCGTCTTCTGTAACTCTTCATGCATGATGCCAGGGAGTCTTGCCTGGATGATTCGGCGCCGGACGACTGCAGGCGAGACCCCTGGACAGCGGCAGCAAGGGGCACCTGTAGCGCAGCATTAAGACTGAAGAGCATGAGTGCGGCACCGGTGCAGCAGGAAGAATACGTGCCGAGACACCAAAGGTTCCCCTGGACGCACTGGCTGGCGGGGTGCCGGACTGCTGTTCAAGAGCTCATCATCCAAGTTGCCCTTAGCTCGCTCGAAGTCACAGACGCGCGAGATGCGAGGAGCTCAAGGATTCTTGGAATGTGGGGAAAAGCCAAAGCATCACCGTCAACACCGTTCAATCAGCACACTGTTTTCAGCTCACTTTGTTTCACACGAGAGTCGAAGGATGGCAATGCCGGCTGCTTCGCCGATTTGCGGAGGGTGTGAACTGCTCCCTCAGCAGCTGCATCCTGCAAGAGGCATGGATTTCGACGCAACTTTCCTAGGATGGAGCCTTTTGTTCGTTAGCGCCTTGAGACCACTCAGCGGCATGTCAATGTACTTTGGCTTCACTTCCTCAGCCCAATCGTCTGTCGTGTATCACACACCCCGAGCTACGGCAGTTACCATAACGAGGAGATGTTGTTGACAGTACAACCCCACTGTCTCTTGCTTGGTATGACCTGTGAATCTTTATTACACCGTAAAACACCTTCGAAGACATTTCAAAAAAAACTTATCTTAAACAGCGTCAAGAAGCTGTCGCCAGCGGGTATTGTGAGCGGGGCTTCTGCTTCCTTGACACACTTGTGCGGTGACGGCGGCTGCGGGTTCAGGCAATCAGGGGTATTATATTATATTATGTTATATTATTTTATGCTATATTTTACTGTCTTATATTTTGTTATTATTTTACGTTGTATTATATTTTATTATGTTATGTTATTTTATTTTTTATATCATATTATTGTATTATATGATAGACCCCGAAGACCAGAGCTGGGCCAACATCCGGCTGTCCACGGAGAACTCGTTCTGCTCAAGTCATCGGCTTCCACATAACGAGGCGCAAGATAGCGAGAGAAACTCGACAGACAAGGGCCCAATTGCCGGGCCCGTGAGCAAGCTCACTTTATTTTGGGGGCCTTAATGGTTCCTTTATGATAACCATAGTAACTATAGTATAATATACCCCAAAATCCCTATTCTATAATTATTAAGGCTCCTACATGACTTGCGGTTCAGCTTCGGTGGCGCAATCAAGTCCTCGGGCTCGGTGTCTGGCTCCTCTGGCTCTGCCTCATGGAGCGCTTTTGGTGCACGGGATCTGCTGCCACTTTGCTGTTGTGGTTGTAACAGCTGTTCGATGTTGTCGGAGTTGTAGAGATTCGATGATTCTCCGTACCTGGTACTACTCCACAAACCCTTCAACTCAGAAAACTACTGTACCACGACAGTACAGTCAAGAGCCACAAGAAAACGGGTGGGGTCTGGCACGGCCGCGTGGAAGTGCAAAGACCCAGTCGAGCAAGAATGCATCCCGCCGGCAAGACTGCACTGGACTGGACCACCCACACAAAAATGTAGGAGAGATGGACTGCCAAGGCGGTGGACACGGTGTAAACCACAACGGCAACAGAAACGAACGACGACGATGCTGACAAAGCTGAGGACGGTGACTGTTCTCCCCGTGCTGCTACTTCTACTGCTACTTCCAACTACTGCTACTAACATGACTGGCAGCAGGATTAGCAGCAACATTACGACGGGTATCAGATTTAGGGCTTTGGAGGTTTGGCGCTTAGGATCCTGAAACTCTTCTTGTCCAAGGCCCAAGCGCGAGCTTCCACAACTGGCCGAGACTCCTGGGCGTCCGCATCTCGCAAAGGTGCGTGCGCTCTTGGGGGCTTAGAGTTTACGGATGTCAGAAATCATTGCATCAGGTGTGCCAACAAGGTTATTAAAGAATATCGTGCTTCTGAAACGAGCTTCTCTATAAACATCCTCTTGGCTTTCCAGTGTTTTGCATGTGCCTCCTTCTCAGGAAAGCTTGGACATATAGCAACGATGTGACAGCGCTCCAATGAGTGTTTCGTGTAGTAGCACATGAGGGTAGGCGTTGATTTTATACACATGTCCTCTGTACCCCAGCTCTAAAAATCCCACGAACCTTCAAGCGACCTCAAGCGCTTGTCTGCCGGGCTTCTGCTTCAGCCTTCCCATGCTTCATCACGCCAATTCCTCCCCGTTTCCGGAGATTCCCCGATGCAATGAGTCCTCAGATACAGGCCGAGCAAATTGGTTTCAGAGGAGTAGTGAGATTGCCGAGTGCTGTTCTTGTTGGTGTTGTTAGTGACATGTGTTAGTGACTGTGTCAGCCGCGTTAGCGTTATCAACGAAGATCATGCTGTAGCTAAGGCTTCTTCGATCAGTATGATGACTTCAAAGACTTGCTGCTGCTTGTTCATATCCGCAACAGTGGTATCGCCCGCGAACCCTACATCCTGAACCCACCGCTGTTCTTAGCTGGGCCACGACGTTCCCACTCTTCCGCGGTCCATCTCAGGGGATGCCAAAACTCTGAAAAGCCCACCGCTCGATCACGTGCGTAGGTGTACCGCACCTTGGCTCAGAAGTTTATGTAGATGTATGCATGTATGTATGTATGTATACCATACATACATACATACATACATACATACATACGTACATACATACATACATACATACATACATACATACATACACACACACACACATACATACATTTTTAGCACTCGCACTCGGCAGGGCAGGCGAGGTAATGGGAGAACCAGATCCACAGCAGAACTCAAACGCACATACATACATACATACATACATACATACATACATAAATACATACGTACATGTGTAGATATGTGTATTTATGACATATACACATGTATATATGACCCGAAGCCCACAGGTGTTCGGGGCAAGGGTGACCAGCATCTTCAGAAAGCCCCAGGCGCTGCTAGCATCCCCTACCAGCCGTGTAACCCTGTAGCTGTGAATACCGAGCAAGTACAAGACACAAGACACCTTAGGGTATAGGGTTTACGCTCTCACAACTCGGACAAGCCAGGCGAGGTTCATGGTGCGAAGGTCGGTGTGAAAAGCAACTCCGTATCCACCAAATAGGGTTTAGGGTATAGGGTTTAGGGTATAGGGTTTAGGGTTTAGGGGTCATGATTTCGGCAAGGTG